CCCCCGTTCTTTTGAGTATTCATAGGAGAGGGTGGGGAAGAGGGCTTCGCCTCCCTCAGCCTTCTGCTGCTTCCTGCAGGCTGAGCTCTGAGTCTCTTTGGAAAGGTTCTGTTTGGCAGGGTAGGGTTGAAGCCTGGAATGTCTCTTGGGAAACATGATAAGCTCTTCTTGTTTTGTGCAGAGGCTCTCAGGGTGTGCTCCCTGGGCACTGATTCAGTGTGCCAAGGGAACCCACAATCGGTGTCATGGTGGCATCTATCTAGGTGAAGGGACTGAAAATGCCTGTAGGAAAGAAGCCGGATATTTGGCTTAAGTCACCCTAGTAAGTGAGGACAGGTGGAAAGAAATTAGGCTGATCTCAAAAGATATCAGGCAGCGGACAAATGGGAGCAGAGAGCCTAACACTCTAGTGGAGAATCCAAGATGGCTCCAGAGTTGGAGACAGCAAATAATGCAGCACCTGTTTTGACTGATCCTCCGCTAAATTCTGTCAGGAGGTCTGTTGGGTCCTGACTCTCCAGCCTGCTTTCTCATACCCTTTTGGCAAATCTGAAGTGGCTGGTGCGGGAAGAATATTACTATTTCATTGCTTTTTATTGCTGAGTAGTATTCCATAGTGTGGACTGTTTGCCCTTTCACCAGGAGATGAATACTTGGGTTGTGTTCAGTTTGAGGTAACTACAAATAAAGCTGCTATACACATTCACATCCAAGGCTTTGTGGAGACATACATTTTCATTTCTCTTTAGTCGATAGCTAGGAATAGAACAAATAGGTATATGGGAAATATATGCTTTACCCTATAACATACTGGTACACTATGTTCCAAAGTGCTGTGCCATTTTGGATCCCTGCCATGGGTGGTAGGGGTTCCCAATACTCCACATCTGCCAATACTTGGTATTTGCCAGTCTTCTTAATTTTACCCAGTCTAGTGTGTAATGGTATCTCATTAAGGTTTTAGTCTGCAACTCTAGTGACTAGTGATATTGGGCATTTTTTTTTTTCAATGCTGGGAATTGAACCTAGGGCCTTGTCCATGCTAGGCAAGCACTCTACCACTGAGCTACATTCCCACCACCATATCTTATTTTATAAAATATCTGTCTAAATGTGCCCACTTAAAAACTTGAATTGCTTTCCTTTTTAAAAAAAAATATTTTTAGGGACTGGGGATGTGGCTCAAGCGGTAGCGCGTTCGCCTGGCATGCGTGCAGCCCGGGTTAGATTCTCAGCACCACATACAAACAAAGATGTGTCTGCTGAAAACTAAAAATAAGTACTAAAAAAATTCTCTCTCTCAAAAAAAAATTTTTTTTTAGTTGTGGATCGACACAATACCTTTATTTTATTTACTTTTATGCAGTGCTGAGGATAGAACCCAGTGCCTCACACGTGCAGGTGCAAGGCAAGCACTCTACCACTGAGCTTCCACCCCAGTGAATTGCTTTCCTTTTAATGAATTGCAAGAGCTCTTTATATATTTGGGATATAAGCTCTTTATGCAAATATTTTCTCCTAGTCTGTGACTTGTCTATCCCCCTCCATCATCTCTCCATCTCATTTTTTTTTTTTTTTTTTTTTGGTGGTGTTGGGAATTAAACCCAGGGCCTTGTGTATGCGAGGTAAGCACTCTACCAACTGAGCTATATCCCCAGCTCTCTCCCCTCTCTATTAAATGGAGACGGTCCACTTACTCTCCGGTCCACTTACTCTCTGGGCAACAAATATTAAGCAAGTGACTTTCACCTTTTTTTTTTTTTAAAGAGAGAGTGTGAGAGAGAGGGGGACAGAGAGAGAGAGAGAATTTTAACATTTATTTATTTTTTCTTAGTTCTCGGCCGACACAACATCTTCGTTTGTATGTGGTGCTGAGGATCGAACCCGGGCCCCACGCACGCTAGGCGAGCGCGCTACCGCTTGAGCCACATCCCCAGCCCGACTTTCACCTTAACTTCTCCAAGGATAAGTAAAATAATACAAAATGTTACTTACCAGTCCTAGCATCTTTGGCAGTCAGAGTGGCAGCAGCCAGGCAGCTGAGCTACATGCAGGCTGTCAGTGTTGCAGGGGCTGCAGGCATGCTCCCCACATCAAGAAGAAGGTCACCTTAGCTGAAGGAAGAGCCCAGGATATATATATATTGAGAATGGTGCATAATGGATATGTCTATGTACGGATCTTCAAGCCTACCAATCATATCTCAACTATGAAAGAAAAAGAATGCTATCTACTCATAAACTTGTTGTAAGAATTAATTCCTAACTGGTTAGGAAGTGCCTGATACTGCCTAGCTATAGAAGGCTATTGTTTCCTGGGAAGTGAAGACGGGCTGAGCCACTGAATAGATGCCACAGCCACTACTGGTAAGGTCTGACAGGTCCCTGGTTCCAGGCTATATGGCTGCTGTGAGTGTAGAGAGAGCTGGTGGGCTCCACTGGTATGTGTCAAATACGCCAGGCTAGTGGCCTTTAAATATTTCTTCACAATATACCTAATATTTTTGACCCCCTAACATGTTTTTAAGTTGTCATTAAACTTTTATGTCTGAAGTTTAAAATATTCTAAATCATGCAATTTTCAGTAAAAACAACATTTCAATCTGATATTGCTTAGTTGTCCTTCTAAATATGTCATGTGGAATCTAAATATCATCACAATTTAATAATCACAAGTATGCATGCTTTGGGAAAAAAATACATAGAGGAAGAGTCCTTTTTTTTTGGTACTGGGGATTGAACCTAATGGTGCTCTACCACTGAGCTATATCTCCAGCCTTTTTATTTTTGAGACAGCCTTTTTATTTTCTTACCAAGTTGCTGAGGCTGGCTTTGAATTTGTAATCCTCCTTGCTTTAGTCTTCCAAGTAGCTGAGATTATGGGTATGTGAGCCACCATGCTGGCTGAGAAGTCCTTTTTTTAAAGAATCCAACATTTTAAAAATACTTATAAATATTAATATTTATAAATATTAATGTTTATTATCATAAATATTATGGTTATAAATATTAATATTTATTTTTAAATTGTAGTTGTATCTTTGTTTTATGTATTTATTTATTTATAATTTATTTTTAATTTTTTAAAATTATGATTGCTGTAAGTATATAGGTGACTCTATGACCAGTGTGATTCTGCAATCTGTACAGTCAGAAAAATGAGAAATTATACCCCAATTGATTCAAATGTATGAATTGCCAAGATCATTGTAATGTCATGTGTAGCTTATGTATTTATTTTTATGTGGTGCTGAGAATCGAACCCAGGGCTTTGCACATGCTAGGCAAGTGCTCTACTGCTGAGCCACAATCTCAGCCCGAGAATCCAAAATTTTTAAAAATTGTCATTGTACCATATTCCATTGCATAATCATCACAGATTTTATGCCAATTTTAATTTTTTTGACAAAAAATGTGGGGTGCAGGGCTGGAAATATAGTTCAGTTGGTAGAGTGCTTGCCTCATATGTACAAGTCCCTGGGTTCAATCCCCAACACCACAAAAAAGTGGGGTGCAACCATTATGTGAAGTTTTTTTTTTAAGTTGTGCTAGCATTACTTAAAATAATTTATTACTAAACTGGTTTTGGTTCAAGATTAGGATGCATGGAATAGTTATGAATATATATTAACACAATGGCAATGATCATTCAGTGAAGTACAGTATTTCTATTCTCTTCCCCTAAAGAATTTGATTCTAGAAAGTCTTTTGCTGATCCCTTATATTTCTCTGCAATAAAAATATAAATAAAAGCGAATCATACATTTACATAATTTCTAGGATTCAAATGTTCTAGGAATGAGACATTCATTCCCAGTTATTACAATGATCATTAGAATACAATTGACCAAAACATATTTTGGCAAATAACTATTAAACAAGGTAACATTTTATTGGACATGTGTTTCTCATTGATGTGAATGGGGTATGTGGTAAGTGTCCTGACAGGTTATCTGGGAGATACTTCTTTGCCTAGAACAGAGGGTGAGGGTGAGAGGCAGAAGGGAAGCAGTCCAGGGGACACCTCTATGGATAGGTAGCAGTAAGACATGAACAGTGGGTCAGGTGTTTAAGAAAATGTTTACTACAGAACAAATCAGTTAATGGGCAGCCCTGCCTCTGTGACACCTCGAGGTCTAACAGGAGAGCTATTTCAGGACCCTAGACTGATTTCAGCCCTATAAAGTGTTCCTCTGACAACAGGACAACAGGAAGTCCCAAAGATAAATGCAGGGGTAAGAACCAAAGGGCAAGGATTTATTTGCTC